GCAGTTCCACTCCTATGGGTATACCCCAAAGATGTGAAATCAGATATTCAAATACTTGTACAGTTGTTCATAGTAGCATTGATTACAATAGCCAAAAAGTAGAAACAAATTCAAATGTCCATCAGTGGATGAATGACTAGGAAATGGGGTCTAGTTACACAATAGGACATTGTTCAGCCACAAGAAGATATGATCTATGGAACTATGCTACACCCAGGAAGAAGCATGGAAAAGTTATTCAAAGTAAAGAAAGCCAGTTACAAAAGACCATATATTATATATGATTCCATTTATAAGATACAACCAGAATAGAGAGGGTAGACATTTTTGCTCTTTGGGGTTTTTGTTTTTGAGACAGGGTCTTGTTATATAGGCCAGGCTGCTCTTTAACTCACTCTGTAGCCAAGACTGTGTCTTCAAAACCTTTATGCTCCTGCCTCAGCTTCTGGAGTGCTAGAACTACAGACATGCAATACTATGCTAGGCTCCGTGGGTATTCATTTGATTAGCTAGCTGAGGCAAGACCACAAATGAAACATCCTTGCTTTCAACTGTGGCATGTTTTTGCACATGGTACGTGGATGTAGTGGCAATGGTGGTGATGATCATTCACTCATGAGGAGAAACAAAGAAGAAGAAAGAAATGTTGAAGTAGCCATTTTCATAAATGAGTAAATTGTCTTAGGAAACCAGGTACGTGATTTCAAATCTGAGAAATGGATGCTTGAACAATCATCAGCACCTTTGTAACATGCACCATGGTTGGAATCACCAGAATGTTTAAAAAGTTTCATCTTGGAATCACTTTAAACTTAAAAAAAAAGCTGAACAAATAATACTGACAGACTCCTGTATATTTAAATGTTTTTATTAGCATATATTAATTGTACTAAATCTTGTATGCTTTTCACCTGGATTTACCAATTGTTAATATTTTACCAATTTTCTTTATTTTTCTTATCTATTTATCCACCTACATACCAGTTCACCTGTTTTGCAAAAACACTTGAGAATAAGCTGTGAATTCTAGGTTTGTATTTTCTAACAACAAAGACATTCTCCGACATAGCTAGAATACAACTATCAGTGCCAGGAAATGACATTTTGTCGCAATCCTGATAATCTAATCTACAGACCTTATTCAAATGTTCTCTATTGGCCCGATAACATCTTTCCAACAATTTATTTTTCTAGTCCAGACTCCAGACCAGGATCATGCATCACATTTAGTTGTGCCATCCTGTTAGTGTCTTTTAATTTAGGACTTCCTCAGCCTCTCTTCATCTTCCAAAGCATTCATATTTTGAAGACAGGCCAGTTGTTCTGTGGAATTTCTTTTGATTGAGGGTAGGCTGATGTTTCCTCGTGATTAGATTTAAGCTTTCACTTTTTGGCAGGAATATTGCACAAGGGACTCTGGGACCTTCTCTGTGTCTCACACCAGGAGGCACATGAACTTGTTCATTTCATGACTGGAAATGGTCACTTTGATCATTTGATTAAGGTATTATCTGACAGGTTTCTCCACCAGAAAGTTCTGCTTTTTTTTTTTTTTTTAAGACGTGTTCTTTAAGATATCTGTTTCCTATTCGGATAGTTTCACTGTGTTTAGAAAAAGATCTTCCTAGCTGGGTGCTGGTGACTCACACCTGTAATCCTAGCTACTCAGGAGGCTGAGATCTGAGGATTGTTGTTCAAAGCCAACCCGGACAGGAAAGTCCATGAGCCTCTTATCTCCAATAAACCACCAGAAAACCGGAAGTGGCACTGTGCTCAAGTGGTAGCGTGCTAGCCTTGAGCTGAAGAGCTGAGGAACAGCACCCAGGCCTAGGGTTCAAGCCCCATGACTGACCAAAAAAAAGAAAAAAGAAAAAAAAGATGTTCCTTGGTTATAGGAGATTCAGTGAAATGAATGTGTGCCTGCCATGCACACACATGAGTGAGATTCTGTGGAGGGATGAAGGACACAGGGAACCCACAGCCACACCATGCCTACTTCCCAGAACTCCTCTGTCATTGGAGCAACATTGTAGAATTCAGTCAGTGTACATACTGCTTCCAAGAAGGAAAATCTTCCAAGGTAAAATTTGGCAGGCATTATTCAGAATAGAGTTGCCTCCTCCCACTCCTCAGAGCATGAGTGTATTTTCTTCTTGTTTTGACCTTTTTTTCATTAATCATAGAGAATGGGATTGTACCTCATCTCTTTAGAGGAGATTAAAAATTACCAGGCTGGTCACTCAATCTGTCTCTTGAGCACAGCCGGATCTAGTTGTATTTCAAAAGTGGACCAGCAGAGTTGAGGGATACCACTCAATGGTAAAGTTCTTGCCTAGTATGTAAGGCCCTGCACTCCAACAGGGCCATACCACTCAGTGGTAAAACCCTTGCCCAGCATGCTAGACCCTACCACCACGGAAAAGCCTTGGATTTCATGACCACCACCCCACAACATGCACCAGGAAGTGGAACATTGGTCTTCTACAGGTCCTTCCTGCAGTTGTATGAGCCCAAAGGGTCTGCTACTAACATGGCATCTAGTTTGTGCTTATAAATATTTGTTTTAGCGATGGAGATTCAACTTACCTCTTAACCTGCTGGGTTAAGCAGGCTGAGCTCTCTCTTGCTCTGTGTGTGTGTGTGTGTGTGTGTGTGTGTGTGTGTGTATGTGTGTGTGTGTAATAACTAAGACAACAAGGAGCCTATGAGCCATCCAGCACTTGCCAGGGTACTACCTTAAATGTTTTAAAGTTACCCTAACCACATTGCTGCACCTTGTGTTTTGCTAATGAACACCCCTACACAGAATAGAACAGGACTCAGAGAAGTAACATGCCCAAGGTTGCTTAGTTAGTGAAGCCAACCATTCGGTGTCCTTTTATTTGTCACCATTTTATTTTCATTTCCCTACCTCAATCATGGGGATGCAACTGAGAAGTATGTGAGCTTCAACATGTTATAAAAATATCATCAGGCTGGGCGCTGGTGGCTCACGCCTGTAATCCTAGCTACTCAGGAGGCTGAGATCTGAGAATCGCGGTTCAAAGCCAGCCCGGGCAGGAGAGACCGTGAGACTCCTATCTCCAATAAACCACCAGAAAACCGGAAGTGGCGCTGTAGCTCAAGTGGTAGAGCGCTCGCCTTGAGCTGAAGAGCTGAGGGACAGCGCCCAGGCCCAGAGTTCAAGCCCCACGACCGACAAAAAAAAAAAGTAAAAAAAAAAAATATCATCAGAGCTGGACACCCGTGGTTTACATGTGTAATTCTGGCTGCTCAGGAGGCTGAGATCTGGTGATTCTGGTTCAAAGCCAGCCTGGGCAGGAAAGACTGTGAGACGTTTATCTCCAATATATTACCAACAAAAGCCAGAAGTGTAGCTGTGGCTCAAGTGGTAGAGTGCTAGGCTTGAGTAAAAGAAGTTCAGGGACAGTGCCCATGCCCTGAGTTCAAGCCTCGGGAATAGAACAACAACAATCTCTCTCTCTCTCCATATATATATATATATATATACACTATATATAATCTCTCTCTATATATAAAATCAGCAATTGACTAAGTTGAAACCAAATTTAAAGCATAAAGTTTATAAATATATTCAAATACATAGACTATATGAGCACGTAAACACATATTTTGCTTTGATGGAAAACATTAACATTTGTTATAACAGTTGTAATGCTTTATTGCATCCTCTCAAACCCCATAACCTTGGTCATAAGGATTCTTGTTTTAAAGATGGAAAACCCTGAGGTTTCTTAGAACAAAGTGATCCAACAGCTGAGCTAGGATTGTATTTAGTACTATCAAGCTTCAAAAGTTTGGCCTGTAAGCCTTTCTTCACTGAACCAGGATCCTGATTGGATGAAGACTCTATAGGGTCGGCTTTCAAATGCAAATCAAACAAGGAGGACTTCTCTTTCCCACAGACAAAAATGAAAGAGTTGAGCAATCGCTCCAAGTGTCCAGAATGCAAGGAAGAAGCGGAAGCAGCCCTCACATGCCTTTGTTGGTAGTTGGAAGTGTAGATGGTAGATTGTTGGTAGTATAAATTGTTTAGAGGTAGCTGAGATTTTAGCCATTAAAACAGCATTTCTTGTTCATATTACTTCTCTACAGCCAGACTTGGCCATTTACTCAGAGACAGACTCATCTAATCGGGTATGTATGCACATACCTAGCTTCTCCTCTATAGCTTTCCTAATAGGAACAAGAGCTAGAATCAAGATAAGTGAATTTTATTTCAAAGATTAATTAAATATATGATAAATAATGGAAAACTATATAGCCCTTAGAAGACTGAGCCTCACTTAGTCATAATGCTATGAAGCTCAAAATATTCACTTGAGTGGAAAAAAAAGCCTCACAAATACTATATGACTCCTTTTCCACCTTGTGTAATGAAAATAGATGAGATCCTCAGAGTTAATTTCCAGAAGGAAATTCAAAGTAAGACCAACAGTTTACCTCTGGGGAAAAGAGCATGGAGAATCCATATGGAAATTTTATGTTTGTTCTAGAAGCAAAGTTTACTTTTTTTTCTTTGCCTGCTTCAGGGCTTGCTCACAGCTGGTGCTCTACCATTTGAGCCATGCCTGCAACCCAGCTTTTGCTAATTTACTGAAAATGGAGTCTTGAGGACTTTTCTGCTCCAGCTGGCCTCAGCGTCATGGGTAGTGAGTGTGGCAGATGGTGAAACATTACTTTTCTATTGCTTTTAAATGTTTATACTTAACCTTCATCTTTTCTATCTTTACATTATACATTGAAAAGTGCATCATTTCTTTTTCTGCTCAAGAAGTTTTTTTCACACAAAAAAAGTAATACAACAGCAGTTCAGAATGCCCTTAAAAGAACAAGAATGTGAGCCAGGGCTTGAGGTCTCTTTAGTAAGAAAACACCTTTGGAAGGAAGTGAAAGGCACCGCCCAGAGGCCTGCTGGAAGAGGGGGACTTCCTGCTCATTTGCAAGTGAAGCAGTGTACTGGGGAAGGAGAGCAGTTATTGCCCATGTTCTGTCTCTTAACTATTCTAAAGCAAATTAATCTTAGATCAATGTGCAACGGACCCTTATCTAAAATATACTTGTAGCCTACCAAGTTTAGTAAGTCAGCTCTCCCCCTGCCCTCCCGCCCCCCCTCCCATTACAGCAGCTATCTCTTTGATATTTCCTTGTAAACGTGAGCACAACATTACATTTTGGTGAACCACTTCTTCTTTTCAGGGAAGTAAGAAAATTGCTTCTGGCATCTTACCGTGTTGTGTGGATTCGCGTGAGTGTCTGAGTACGCATGTGTAGGTTTTTATTTTGTTTTGTTTTTAAGTAGAAGCACCTGTGGCCAGGCTGAACCACTATAAAAGCGCTAAGGTCTTTCATCCTTTTCCTAGCTCATTTTTACCTCCCAAGAGAGCCCCGTGAGCGTGTCACCAGGCAGGCAGAAGGGAAGAAATGAGGCACATGGTAAGTGACTTGCCCAAGGTCTCTGGGAATGCAGTGAGCTTGGAAATAAGTGTCCAGCTCAGGAAGGTGGCAGCGGGCCTAGGGGCCCCATAGGGGAGGAGCTGGGGTTTCCTGGGGTTTAAGCATCCAGTTGTATTCAGGACTGTTTTTCTTTCCATGGAGTTCTCTTATGAGTAAAGGGCCAATGAGGGAACTGAAATGGGGGTGCTGAGAGAGAAGGGCTCATGTGGGTGGTGGATGGGTGGATGTTCAGAAAAATGGGTGAGACCCGCAGGGCAGAGGTGTTACCTTGCTCCCCTCTTGGCCGCTGATCTCAGTGCCTATAATCCCCAGGTACTCCTGCTTGCCTGCCTTAAATGGCTGGGCAGCATGGGGGATGGTAAGGAGTGGGAGGTGGATAGAGAATGCAGCATATTTTTCGTCACTCTTCCTTCTCATGTTTGCCAACCACCTGTTTCCCACTTGAATAATTGGGTAATCATGCCACTGAAGCAGAGCAGAGAAGGTTCTGCTCTGCAGTCTCTATTGTTCCTGTTTCCTAGGCCTTCATGCTGATGATCCTGGAGAAGGAAAATGTGTAGGCTTGCTCCATGCTTTCGTTCTCTGAGAGTGCTGAGTGGGGGCTTCAAGAAATACTGTGTATTCTCATCTCTCCCACCATTTCCCATCACACCCTGAGGGAGAGGTGAACAGATTCCACTAATAAAAATGCAGAGTTCTCAATTACAATGGAATTCCAGATAATGAATCACTTTCTAGTACAATATTTGAAACCCACCTTACTGAAAGCATATTTTATTTTTCTTAAGTCATAAGTGGCTACCACCCTACCCTGAAAAGGGAAACTCAGCCCTTTGGCAGATTTCATAGCAACTTTACCTGCCTGCTTATGTACACACACACACACACACACACACACACACATTTCAGGCCTCTTCTGTTTGGAGGGGTTTCTACACCCTGCCAGAGCGGGAAAGAGAGAAATGAAGAGGAGAAAACTGAAGAGGAGGAAGGAGGCAAAGAGGAGGGAGGAAGGTAAGGAGGAGGGAGATGTGGCCTTCACAAAGCCTTCGCAAAGGTTGTGGACAACTAGTTCCATGAGCAAATGGGAGTCACCAACATAACAAAGGAACTTGAGAAACTCAGAGCTGGCTTTGCCATAAACACAGTGTTCTGATCGGGGAGCCTGTGCTGTTCTTGTGGTCACACAAAGGCAGAGCTCATAATCAGGAGCAATATTCAGCTGGCTCCTGGGAAAATGTATAGTTTCCTCAGCTTCATCAGCAGTGTATTAGGGAGAGTCTAGTATGCCAGGAAGGATGCTAACATGGTGCCTCTCCTTTCAGAACTTAGTGTATTGGATTGAGGTTATTTACATAAACCAAAACGCATTCATTTTGACACATATATTTTATGAGTGTTGAAAATCATGTGAGAACCACATACATACCATTTGCATACAGATACTCATTTCCATAATCTAGAAGGTTCTCCATCTCTCTACAGATTTGTGCTATACATGTTGGCTGTGTGAAGCTGAAACCCCCGGAGGTAGGATACAGTCCTTGTACCTATTGTCTTAGGAAGTCTTTTGTTGTGATATCTGACTCTGGCGTCTTCATGGCTTATACCTTATCTTCTCTACATGCCAGGCTGGGTCTCCTCAATAATGAGCCAAGTCTTATTTGTTTGTACCTGAAGTACTTAGCAACATCACTTAGAATGAATGCTGCTTACTGAATGGATAATGACTGGATCAGGATGGCAGGACTTGAACCCTGAAGAATCAAAAGTAGGGACATTGTTATTAACTTGGAGAGTTCATGTTCAGAACCAGCTAGAGACCTGGTTCTCCTTCTGAATTTCTTGTGGCCCTCTTCAATTTACCATATTTGGCTGCAGGCCTTTGTTTATGGCCTTGAGAGCCCATTTGCCCTTTCCTTCTAGGCTTCTAGAACTGTCATGCCTAACCCCATGGCATTTTCTGTCTGTTTTGTGAACTGAAGTATAGTAGTGATAGTAAAATAAAAATTTTATATGGTGGTTTCTGATTTTCAATGTCATTTGGGGTCATGGTAGAGAATGAGAAGAGAATGACAGCTGACATTTGCATTGCACTTATTGCATGTTGGAAACTAGTCTAATCCGAACATTTCTCATTTAATCCTCAAAAAAAAAAAAAACAGTGATTCAGTGACTAAGATGAGGGCCAGTGTAGTTGCTCCACTTTGGGAAGGAAACTGGGATATCTAACTTGTCCAAAATTGCATTGTTGGTCAGTGGGAGCTGGGTCCTTGAATCCTGGCAGGTGGGTTTAAGACATCCCCCTCTACCATCTCCTACCTCCTTTGACAGAAGAATCTTAGAGAGATGTAGACCTTTTCTTTCTGCTCATGTTTGGTTCTAATTGCATTGTTTGTTTCCTCTGGAGTTTACCATTGTTATTACTATTATTATATGATATAATTATATGGGAGGAACATAAGCAGAAAACTGATGATGCCTCTGAAACTTGGAAAGAAATATTTGCGTAGCAAAGAAAATTGAGAAATGGTTGTGTTTATGGCCAGTAACAGCTGTTCTTTTTCGGAAATTAGTGTCCTTTTTTAAACTTCCTAACGAGTTTTTTACTTATGTGCTCAAAGGTATACACTGTATGTGATGACAAGCCAAAACAGGCCTGTTATCCTCCTCAAACAAAAAGCCCAATCAGCAGGCATCCTGTCCCTGCCCCATTCCCAATATCCACATTATAGTCCAATCATCATTTTCTCTTTACACCTACATTGTTCACTTGTCTTCTTTTCACTGGTTTCACTCCATGTTATGGAGGGCCAAAGGCTGCTGTCATAGCTTCCTTAAGGAATATCCTTATTCTCTCCAAGTCTGCTCCACACTCCTTCCCAGGGATACTGCTCTGACCTGTTCTGCTTCTAAACCTCCCAGCGCTCCATTCCATGGGCAGCATGAAGTGTAAGGGCTTTGGGTTGGCCCTCAGAGACTGTCACCATGTGTAGCTAGTATGATCTACCAGTATAATTGTATTTGTTTCCTCCAAGCAACCAAAGCTAGAGCCACAAAGGATTCTCATTCCTTCCTTGTACTCCTTATATGCTCTACTTTGACATCCATATTCACTGTCATGTCAGCCAGGAATGCCTTGGGAGTCTTAATGTCCATTTCACAGCAACCTTACATGACAGCCATTGTAGCATAGATGAAAAGACAGAAGGCTCTAAGAGCAGACTGCCAGGATTTGTGTGCTAATTCTGGTCAGGACTAGCTTCCTGATGTGCAGCCTAAGAAGGGGCTCTTGGTTAACATTCTATGACTGCCTGCTTGAAATCTGTTTCTTCGTAGTGTTGAGATTCAAATCCAGTTCCTTGAGCATGCTAACCAAGTACTCATCACTGAGCTATATCCCCCACCACACACTTATAATTTTTGAACAAGGGCACTAGGCTCACAAATTATACAGCTGGTTGTGACTCTGACATTGACAAGCTACCTAATAGCAAAGATCAGCCATCTCAGGCCAGGCACATTGGAAGTGGTCAGTAATGGGAGCTATCATCACCCTTATCTTACAAGGCAGGAAACAGGCCCAGTGAGTTGATTAGCATCCCACGGCTGTCATGTGACAGGAACATTGATGTCAATTCACTTTCATTTCCCATGTGAATGTGGACTCTCTTACTTAGCCCTGCCTCTTCTTAGCACGTGGTTATGCCTGCTCTCAGGGTATTATGGAACAGGATTCAAAGCCTACTCATAGCTCTATTGTTTCTTTTTCATAAATCTTAGAAGGAAGCAGAGCACCAGGCTAGTATTTCTCACATTTGATAAATGAGAACAATAAAAATAAGCAACTGGCCTAAAGGCCCAAATCCAATCATGAGCTTGGCTGAGACAAAGATGCCAACAGCAGAGAATGAAGCTCCTAGAACTCATACATCATGCCTGTCTCTTTTCAGTCTGAGCCAGAATCCTCCTCCCTGTGCAATAGACACTAACAGATGCACGCTGGTCTCTGGGGAAAGGCCTTTTCTGCAAGCAAGTGGGAAGACAGTCTTGATCTTTCCTGCACGTCCCAGGATGCACTGCAGGAGGGGGATGGGTAATCACAACATTACCAAGAGTTGCTTTCAATCCTTCTGTAGCATTTATAGCCAGTTCCTGATTCCTGCTGGTGATGAGAGGCAGTACTGTGGCTAATGTCAGCTTCCATTCAGTCCTTAATTTATTCACACACTCACATATTCAGAATCTAGTTCATTTGCTCTGATTTGGGGGAAGGAGCTATGCTGGTGGAACATTCTGTGAAAGTGACAAGAATAATCTTGCCCTTAGGGATCAGGGAGAAACCTGACAGGTGTGCAAAAAAAATTGCAACCAACTGAATGGTAAGTGCTAGAAGCCAGGAATTATGAGGAGGAAGGAAAAATGTAGAAAAAGCAAAAAAAAAAAGCATTTGCCCAAAAGGTGGAATAAGAGCTAAGACTGAGGGATGAAGAATCTGGTTAAATCCCATTAAATCAGTTTCATATTGGTACATTCACTAATTACCACCAAGTTAGGAGCCTGCATAACACACATGTATTATCTTACAGTTCTGATGGCCAGAAGGTGTGAGGGGACCATATCTGTTCCTGGAAGCCATAGGGGACAATCAACTTTCTTGACTTTCCAGCTTCCTCAGACAGTCCACATTCTCTGGCCAGGGGCCATCGTATCCCTCTTTGGTTGCATTTTGCTTTGTGCCTCTCTCTCCCATTTTTTTTTATCAGCCAACATTAATGGTACAAAGCAATGACTTTCATCATATTTTCATACACACAATGAACTTTGATCCCTCTTCCATTTTTTTTTAAATTTTGTTGGTCATGAGTCTGAATTCTGGGCCTGGGTGCTGTCCCTCAGCTCTTCAGCTCAAGGCTAGCGCTCTACCACTAGAGCCACAGCACCACTTCTGGCTTTTTCTGCTTATGTGGTGCTGAGGAATCGAACCCAGGGCTTCATGCATGCAAGGCAATCACTCTAGCACTGAGCCACCTTCCCAACCCCCTCTTCCATTTGTGTGTGTGTGTGTGTGTGTGTGTGTGTCTGTGTTCTTCCTGGGGCTTAAACTCAGGCCCATGTGCTGTTCCTGAGTTTTTGTGCTTAAGGCTAGCTAGCATTCTACCACTTGAGCCACGGTTCCATTTCTAGCTATTTAGTAGCTAATTGGAGTTAAGAGTCTCACAGATTTCTTTCCTGGGCTGGCTTTGAACCATAATCCTCAGATTTCAGCTTCCTTAGTAACTAGGATTATAAGTGTGAGCCTCCAGCTCCCAGCCCTCTTCAATTTTTAAAGATCCTTGCCATTACATTAAGCCCACTTGGATAATCCAAAACGATCTCCCTATTTGCCGGTGCAATCCCATAGACGTTTCTGCAATAACCAAAGTATCCACATGTTTCAGCCGTTAGAATGCATAGGATGCAGCCATCTTTGAAGATTGTTATTCCGCCCACAATATGCATTTTATGAATTATTTGCAACATGCCCTCAAGCACTTTGTTCCAGTCTCTTTGAGCAGAAGGAGTCTCATCTGAAAACTCAGACAACATACCCTACTAATTTCACAGTACTGTTCTGAGAACTGAATCCACTGGTGTATGTACCTAAAAATGGGAGAGCCTCATGGCAGTATAGATTTTTACTCTAAGGG